ATACGTATTTCAATTAATTTTCAGAATCTATTAAATACCTTATAAGTCAAAAGGATCAGATAAATTACAATATTATTATAGTAAATAGTCCTAACGTTTGAATTTAAAAACTTAAGGAAGTGAACAAACTTCCTTAATCGTCGCGTTTATCCTTTAAGATTTATTTATATATTAAATTACAACATCAAATTAATTTTGATGCTAGTTGCCATGCAACTTGTCTTTTGTAACCATTAACTATATTATCAGAAAGTTGAAAAACAAAAACAGTGCAAGAGTACTCGGCATGTACGCATTCAACTCATCAAGAAATAAAACAAATTTGTTTTTTTTACATTAATTACATGTTGTTATTATTATATTCTAATGCCGACATGAAAAATTAATATTTTAAGTCATAGTTTATTATATATGTAACAATTATTTATAGCTCAAAGTGTTCATACCCATTGATTTTAATAACCTCTTTCACTCTTTGGTTAGAATATTATAAAATTTCCACGAGAAAAATTATTGGGGTACAAAAATATGAAGTAGATCGATGACGTCTATATGTTGGCCATTTCTCAGTTAATAAAATTTATTTAAAACAATAAAAAATTAAAGAGCATATGACAGGAATTTTAAACATAAACTTTCGACAACTCTGGATGTATTAATTATTGTAAGCTCAGGTGGGGCAATCTAAGGACAGGGGCCGGATTTAATTTCATTTAACTATAAAATATGTTAAAATAAGATATTAATCTTGTAATATATATTATGCTTTAAAAAAATGGTTAAATTGATGTTGTTTAATGTAAATGATGAATTTATCTAATCTTTGGTGGAATCTAGAAGGGTTTAACATGTTGTATATACCATTAGCAACTGAGAATAAAGATGTAAAAAAAAAAATTAATATATCGTTATAGCTCAACAATTAATAGATGAGATTACATTACTTAAATTAAGTTCCATGATAATGGCCTTGCAACTTGTCTAGCTAATGCATTGAACGCATCAAAATGTTTCTTAATATAATATGTACATAAATGATTTTTTCTCGTTTTACTATAAAGTTTGTGGTTAAGCTAATAATTTATAATTACAAGTCGTAATTTGGTCTAACCACTACTGAAATTTTAGAAGAGTAATGCTACAGCCATCGAAGGTTACGCACCGAATCTGTGCACCGAATGACGTGACAAAATCTTGACCGTTGATTCATTATCAGTTAATATTAATCAACGGTCAGGATTTTGTCACGTTATTCGGTACACAGATTCGGTACACAACCTTCAGTGACCCTATCATTTTCGATTTTCGAATAGGATTATTTCTAAGAAATTGAAAAAAAAAAAAAAAAATTGTTAGTTAATACAATATATGTATTTCCCAGTTATAGGTGAATTAGTTAAGTAGGGTAAGAAGCGGTGGGCAAAAGTTGATCAGGTAAACTAAAAGCAAGTTAAGTTGTGGTTAATGGTTTGATCTCAAATACTAATTAAATCCAATAATTAAGGAGACATGCACACCTAGGTAGCACATGTGGAACGCATTTGATGACTGCACAGCATCTAATATCATCTTCCACATGTTGGATGATATTCGTTTGGCATATTGTAACGTATTGTGGACCAAAATGGAAGAACAAAGTGTGATATGTATTCTCTCTTTTACATTTGCATCAATTCCTTCAATTATTTATTTATAGTTGTGCAACTTCAACTCTTCATTCTAAATCCTATCAAGATTCTCTCTTGAACCCTAATACTGTTGGAGTTGTTGGTCGCTTCAATAATAAGGGGTCACGCAGATGTCTATTCTATGAAGAGTCTAAGTAATTAAACTCCTAACTTGGTTTGGGCTTAGGAAAAATGGATTCTTGTAATATTAGGTTTTCTTTTTTAAAGCAAGTATATAAACTTATTTGTTTCTTGTATGAGTGTGATAATAAATCATAGAATAAATACATTCATTGTAACGAAAGAGGTGAAAAAATATTTCAATAATATTGACTTTCATACCAGGATAAATCGCACGTATTTTTTTTTAAGTAAATGCAAATATAACAATCACACAACATGATATATATTTTAATTTTTAGATGAAATGAGGGTCGTAATCCTATGAAGATAAGATAAGAAGTAAAATGGTTGACACAAACAAAATAGATATTTATATATAGTAGCATTATAATGTCAAATATGGGTAATGTTTCCACAACTACATAATAATTAAAAATTAACCAACCCACCCCACAATCCACCTTTGAAACGCCACTTGTAGACTCCACTTTTAAGATGCCTATCCAATCTAATATGCATGCTTCACTTTATGAAGAGCAAATTTGGTATATGATCCTTATACCTAACAATTAATTGCATTTTAATGGTGCCACTTTTAGTATATATTATATATAGATGTGCAATCTGGTACAAGCACATGGACATGGTAATCTCTGAGTAAACTCGGTCGGTAGCATGTGATTTTGACAGATGAAGATAATGCCACTCAGTCTCACCAAAAAAAATTATACGTCTTTTGGTTTTGGCCTTCCTCTCTCACATGATTATATGATAGAGAAATAATGGTCGGTTCATAATTCTACTAAACCATTTATCACTTTCTTCTCTCGTGCCGGCTACCGACCATCTCCACCGCCGATTTCTTTTATATATATATATATATATTTGTCCAATATTAGTAGCATGTCTGATGAGCTCATAAGTCCTATATATATAATTACCAAAATATCATATGCTCATTTGTCCACCTGTATAAATAATAAGGTTTTCCCAATAAGCTAGGATCATGTTCGTGTGAAAATGTCTTAGGCACTATGCTATTTAAAAAGGGTTATTTATAGATAATGTATTAATTGATGTTTACCAGTATGTTATACGTATAATATTATTTCATTATAAATCATAGTATAATAAATTAGGGATGACTTTCTCTACCTATTCCTATTGCTGATTTTATCTGTCGCAACCTTCCCCTACGTATTCATTGAGGAGAGGACCAATTGCTAATTTGGTTATTATGGTACTGTAATTTAAGGGATCATTGAAACATACTTATTGTGTTGTATTAATAACGCGTGGTGTAGAGAAGAAGATGGATGATCCATCTTACTGGTGGGGTGGGTAATACATCGTCATCACCCTTTATAATGATTGTCAAAATGAAGTAGAAGAAATCCTCATGCTAATATTGAATAATTACGTTCTTGGTTGTAAGTGATACAGGTAAACTCGCATTATCAACTTTTCAGAAACATTGTGACTCTTTTGTATGAAGAAATTAAGACTGGAGGTGTCGGTTTATGGATGTTATGTCCTACATGCTTCAACTTTTTACAGTTGTCACTTGTCACTCACCAACCAAACTTCGTAGAGTATGGCTTTTGATGCGGCCTCATGTGCCATGTCTGCGTTTCACATAATAATGAGTAGACGACTTTTCCTTTAAATATTGGTTTAATGGTAATTTCCAAAAGTCATTTTATTATTCAAATGTTATTTTTTCCGATCATCACTCACCAAAATCCCTTAAACCCTACTCTCGTTGACCTCTCCAATCACCAACATTCAAACGATTAGGGTTTACGCAACCGCTATTTCCAAGTCAAATTCGATCAATCTCAGCTACCAAAAGTCAACTTTCACCACTAAAAGATTCATCGGTCTCCTCTATTTAAAAACCTCAACAGTCTAGATTGAGTTTGTTTTTTATTCGCTGTCGAAATAAAAATTTGGATAATAAAATGATATTTTAAGAATATGTGGGTGAGAAAGTGTCATTAAACTATTACTTGAGTGGGAAAAAGTCGTTAACTCTAATTCAATAATACGATACAGATTAAATCTTGTTTCAAAGAATAGAGATAAAAACAATAAGGAGGGGCTTTTTACACGGCCATGAGCCATTTATAATCTATAAGTTAACTAATGTATGGGAATAACTATAACTATGCTGCCAACCAATTGCTGTAGAATCGGATGCTTTAATGATTGTGGCATCTGAGGGACATAGTACGTACGTTTACACCAGACAATACATAAAAACACTGCCACATTAAATTAATTCCATGAGACCATGACAATTTTAACAATACTATATATGCCAATTTTGTCTTCTTTCATTACTCATCATTTAAAATATATATATATATATATATTGTTTCTAATATCAAATAGGTAAAGCCTCCATCATTTTCTACTAAAAAAATATGTTTCGGCGTATCATTTATATATACTTGTCATAATAATTTATTTTAAATAACAACCGACTACCCCTTTATTATAATCTAATCCGCCATTGAGAGTCCGCATTTAGGATTTTATTCTGGAAGGTGAACTCATTATTACCATCCGTTGGTATTTCAACCTTTTTTTTTTTTAAATAACTAGGGTTCGGTCTAATTTATGAGTATCTCAATTAATCTTTCGAGATCTTGAAATTATCAATCGGATAAGAGTTTTCGTGACTATTTAAAAGGATTCAAACTTAGGACCTCTTGAGTAATACACTTAAGAGTAACCATCATTGGGTGATCTGATGGTAAAAGAGTAAAAGGGGCTATTGAAGAGATTTATCAGGTCGTTTACTTCAGGGTCCTGAGAGATTTATTTGAGGTGCGCACAAGCTGGCCCATACACCCTCGGTCACAAAAAAAAAATACACTTTAGAGTTCCTCTCGAACCACTTAACCAGAGGTAGTTGTATTTCAACTTTCACCTCTTTACCTTCCTAATATTAAAGAATCTTATAATAAATAAATTTATGATGAAAATTCAATTGAGATTTTAAAACGATACACGTCAGCAATATCATAAAGGAAAAAACATGTGAGAGGAGCTCCTTAACATTTTGAAATTCAGTGATAGTTTGGGCTTATTCTTAGCCCAAAGAATAATCCTCCAATTGCCTAAATTTGGGCCTTAGGATTTGACCCATGACTATGAGACAAAACACATAAACCCGTTAAACCCTTGAAAAACCTCGCTCAACATCATTTGAACACAATCATGGTGAAGGCGTACCTAAGGTACGAACCGGCGGCTGCCTTTGGAGTGATAGTGTCCGTCGATTCAAACATCACATATGACAGCTCAGGCAAGCACTTGCTCGCTCCGGCTCTTGAGAAAGTCGGAGTTTGGCACGTCCGTCAAGGTGTCTGCACCAAATCCCTAGCCACTTCTACCTCCTCACGAGCCGGTCCCTCCCTCGCTGTCACCTCTCTAGCCTCTTCACCTTCTTCTCTGGTATGTATTTCTTACTTAGCTTATGTTTTGTTGCTTAGGAGACAAGAAAAGTCGATGATGAAAAAAGAAAAAAAATGAATAAATTTGATTTGTATTACTGGTGGACCCATCTATTTGGAAAGCAGACATAGAGGCTCTTTGTATTGGAGGTTTTTGATAAATTTCATGAAACTTGAGCAGGTGTGCGATGATTTTAGGAGAAAAAAAATGATTGTTTCCTTAACTTCGAGGAGGTTTCTGACGAATTTTGAAACTAGTGAATTGGGATTTATGTGGCCGAACTTCATGATATTTCAATTAAATTTCCCCAAAAAAAGGAACAAATAAACTTTAATGGAAGTTAGCCTTTTTTTTAGTCTTTCTACAAGTTTTAAAAAATTTGACGGTTGTAATTTTTGGAACATATCTTTTTTTTTAATTTCATTTTAATTCTTAAATTTGAAAAATTGTTCTTAATGTAGTTGGCAGGTGGGTATGCAGATGGTAGTATAAGAATTTGGGATAGTGACAAGGGAACCTGCGAGACCACATTGAATGGACATAAAGGGGCTGTCACAGCTTTACGGTATAACAAGCTTGGCTCTTTGCTTGCATCTGGAAGCAAAGATAATGATGTTATATTATGGGATGTGGTTGGTGAGACAGGTCTCTTTCGCCTTCGTGGGCATCGTGATCAGGTTTGTTATTTCAGCATTCTATCTATACCCCATATTTTGGATTGTTACTGAGTTTGTTTTTGTGTTGATATGGGTTCTTTATGTCTTCTAGGTGACGGACCTCCTTTTTTTGGATGCTGGTAAAAAGCTTGTTAGTTCTTCCAAGGATAAATTTTTAAGAGTGTGGGATCTAGAAACCCAGCATTGTATGCAAATAATTAGTGGTCATCATAGTGAAATATGGTCCATAGATGTTGATCCTGAGGAAAGATACCTGGTCAGTGGTTCAGCAGATGTGGAACTTAGATTTTATACTGTTAAGCATGACTTAATTTACGGGAAATCCATATCTGATTTCAAAGGAAATGAAAAATTGAACAATGCTGATACAGCCTCTCAAGATAAATGGAAAGTTTTGAAGCACTTTGGTGAAATTCAGCGACAAAACAAAGATCGGGTTGCAACTGTGAGATTCAGTAAGTCTGGAGATTTACTGGCATCTCAAGTGGCTGGGAAGACAGTTGAGATATTCCGTGTATTGGATGATGCTGAAGCAAAGCGTAAAGCAAAACGTAGGATTCATCGGAAGAAAGAAAAGAAATCTACAAAAGGGGCAGTTGAAATAACTGAAAATGGAGACACAAATCATGGAGTTCAAGAGGATGGGAATAACCTTGTGGTTACAGTTCCTGATGTTTTTAAACTGCTTCAAACGATTCGAGCTAGTAAAAAAATCTCTTCCATTTCCTTCTGTCCAATTAAACCAAAGAGCTCACTAGCTACTTTAGCATTGTCTTTGAACAATAATTTATTGGAATTTTATTCTATTGAGAGTTCTTCAAATGCAAAAACACTTGCTATTGAGCTACCGGGACACCGTTCTGATGTCAGAAGTCTTACACTTAGTTCTGACAACACTCTTTTGATGTCAACAAGTCACAATGCAGTGAAGATTTGGAATCCTAGTACTGGTTCTTGCCTGCGAACTATTGATTCTGGATATGGACTCTGTGGTCTGATTGTTCCTAATAACAAGTATGCATTTGTTGGAACTAAAAGTGGAACTATAGAAATCATTGACATTGGAAGTGGTACTTGCATTGAAGTAGTGGAGGCCCATGGGGGCTCCATTCAGTGGATTGCGTCCATTCCAAATGAAGATTGTTTTGTGACAGGAAGTGCAGATCATGATATTAAATTCTGGGAGTATCAATTCAAACAGAAACCTGGTCAGGTGTGATATATACCTTCTCCTGCGGTATTTTAATTTGCCAATTCTGTGTTCTGGGAACTAAAAGCAGAGCATAATACTGTGTGATGATAATGTATAGAGAACATTCATGTTCTATTTGGGTGCTTTTATTTAAGAGAGAGTATATTTGAAATATTTCCTTTGGTTAAGTGCGTGAGAAAAAAAGTTATATATGTGAGAGAGAGTTGATAAGTGAATTCAAATTTTATCTTCTCTTGATACTTGTGGATGTTTATGTTCTTTTACGAATAGGGGAGGACACATGACTTGGGACCTTATCATATGTTAGATGTAATTTTCATCTATGACATTTATAGTTTATGGGATGTGTACTGTTTGATTTGGATGAGTTTTGGCCTTATCCAAACTAAGCTAGAAAAGTTAGGTTCACTAAAATGTAATTCAACAAATCAATTTTGCAAGTCAATAAATATATTGACCCTAGAGATATAGATTGATACCTGTTTTTATTTTTTAACAAATTTATATATTTTTGTTCAATTTGCATTTTTTTGGTATGATAAAATTACACCTAGACCAACCTAAAATGAATTACGACTTGGGTTTATTCTACCTGTTAAAACCTGAATGGTTTCCTAAAACCCAACCCAAACCGCCCAGGTGGCTTGTTTTTCATTTTTTGTTTATCCTTTTTTTTTTTTTTTTTTTCGCACTTCTATAATATCTGCAGATAAATCAAAGCAGCTCATGCCTGAAACATTTGCTTGTAATATGATAGAGATTTGAGATTCTAGCATTTTTAGTATATGATATGTTAGAATGCTAAATTGATTCTGTTGGTTCACAGGACTCTAAGCCTCTCTTGTTGTCAAATCTAAGGACTACAAAGATGAATGATGATGTTCTAGCTGTTGCTGTTAGTCCTGATGCTAAGTATATTGCTGCTGCACTTTTGGACTGCACAGTGAAGGTTTATTGTTTTCTTTAATAGTGCCCAATTTGAATTTTTACTTTAGTTGTTTCTTTGGTTTGACTTGTGTATTGCTTTCAATATGTGGGATTATGGTAAGAATATCTAATTTATAATTTTTTGGTTTGAATCTTTAAAAAAATATGTTCTGTTTTCCATAGCTTCTTCTGTCTAACATAAGTCTTTTCTCATACAGGACTTGTAAATATGAATTAGGTTGTTTCATTGTAATAATCTTCCTATCTTTATGTTTGTTGTTAAGAGTATCTTCTCATTATGACTTCATTTTTCTCTTGTTACCATAAGCATGTTGCGTTGCTGATGCATTTACGTTCATTTTTCTTTCAGGTGTTTTTTATGGATTCACTCAAATTTTTCATTTCCTTATATGGTCATAAGTTGCCTGTCCTATGCATGGATATTTCATCAGATGGAGATCTGATTGTGACTGGCTCTGCAGACAAAAATTTGAAGATTTGGGGGTTGGATTTTGGTGACTGTCATAAATCCATTTTTGCTCATGCTGATAGGTGATGCATTTATATAAATGAATAATGAGATTAGGTTCTAGTATATTGAATTTGAATAGTGCCACAGTAGAACTTGGAGTAAATTTGTTTAAACAACCTATTTCTGTGGCAGTGTTATGGCGGTGCAATTTGTGCGCAATACCCATTACATGTTTAGTGTTGGGAAAGATCGCCTTGTCAAATACTGGGATGCTGATAAGTTTGAGTTGCTTTTAACTCTAGAAGGACATCATGCTGATGTTTGGTGTCTTGCGATCAGCAACCGTGGTGATTTTATTGTCACAGGATCTCATGACCGATCTATACGTCGTTGGGATCGTACAGAAGAGCCATTTTTCATTGAGGTACTTTCTTGTCTCTGAGTGTTACAGTGATAATGTGGTATTGAGAAAGTGATGCTGTTGTTCCTTTCTCCTGATTGCAATCATGTTAAGCTTTGGCTTTTTTATTTTTTCCATAATTTTTGCCTGAGTGGAGTCCTGAAAATGCAGGAAGAGAAAGAAAAGAGGCTGGAGGAAATGTTTGAGTCTGACCTTGACACTGCAATAGAAAACAGGTATGCACCCAAGGAAGAAATCCCAGAAGAGGGAGCAGTGGCCTTAGCTGGGAAGAAAACTCAAGAAACCCTTACAGCATCTGATTTGATTATTGAAGCTCTAGACATAGCAGAAGAAGAATTGGATCGTATTGCTCAACATGAGGTATAGTAACATTCCTTTTATCTAGCAACCATAGCACATCCTGATCTGATTTGTGCTTGCACTGTTTTCTCCTAAGTCTTATGAGGTACTAATGTTCCCTTATGAAAGAACCACTGCAACACTTATCAGAGAAGAAAGAGTTACTGTGCACTGTACTGCTTTTTACCCTCTTTGATGAAACTCCCTCTATCATAATGAAGAGAGGTAAGATAGGAGTTCATGAGCAGTTTCCCTCAGGTTGCACAGTCAAATAATTAGTTTTATCTTGTTTTTTTAAGACAAATTTTAAGTCTTGAGTGTCCTTGTTATTGCTCTTAAAAAAGCATTGTTTTCCATAAATATGTTAATCATTAGGATCAAATGCTCACAATTTTTGCTTTAAATTCTCTATGTTAATCTGCAATTACTAGTGCTTTTTGTTAAGTTTGTAGTTTTAAGAAACCTTATCCAGTCGTCTTCTTATTTCTTTTCTACGCGGTCTTACCCATAAGTTTTTGCTTTCTGCCTACTTTGTTGTCCTGTCTGTATCACATTTTTTACTTTTTCGAGTTCCAAAAACTGGTATCAGTTCTGTGATAATCTAGGACCTTGAGTCAAAAGGCTGTAAGATTCAATGATATGTCTCTATTAGAACTCAGTACTTTCAAGAAAGATCAGAGAAAAAATATATATATATAATGCAGATGAAGTGTATGGAAGTGGGCAGCGTGATGCCAATCTCGTATTCAAAATACTGTTGCTATAATAAAATATGGGCCGACTTTAACAGTAACTTATAACATTTTTATTGCATTTGATACTTTATTTTTGTGATTTTCAGGAAGAGAAAACCAGGGGAAATGTTGCTGAGTTTCAACCAGATATAAGAATGCTTGGGCTGTCTCCCTCAGATTATGTTCTCCGTACGCTCTCAAATGTTAACACTAATGATCTGGAGCAGACCTTGCTGGTAAGCAATAGCGCTTCATTCATTTCTTGCCATCCCGCTTAGTATTCTGTTCTCTGGATAAAAAGAAAGCAATATAAATGGGGGAACCAAATGTTATCAATTTCAGTGTGCTAAATTATTTACAATTTTGTGCTTGACGAAAATCTAGAGTACAATGCTTTTCGTAAATTGCTCTTGATGAGTATTCATGTAGTTGACTAGTAACCTTTTGTAGGTTAGTTTTATTATCAGCTTATTTAATACCTTGGGTCTGCATTTCCCATGTTTCAACTGAAGCTCTAGATTAAGTGCTCTGCATATGTAAGTTGCCCAAGTTAGGGTGCTTATCAAAATGTTGTATTTAGCTTATATCTCATCACTGTCACCACAATTAAATTTTTATTTTGTTGGAGTTTGGTATTTTTTTTTTCCCTCTCTACCTCAAAGATGCTCGTTTTTGGCTTACTCGGAATAAATAAATAAACTAGTAAGAAATCCAGTGCATCTATAATAGTCTCATACTATGTGGGTTCAGAAACCATTGCTAATCAGACAAAGGAGAAAAAGAAGAGGAAGAAAAATTGGACCTTTGCTTCTAAAAGTCAAAAAAGTTTTTGTCAGGCATGTAAAAAATTCACATATTTTCTCATTGGGTGAGTAAAAATAGTTTTTACAGTAGTTCTTGGATTGTTGAGGTAATCCATTTATCATTTTTACTGTTGATCAATTTCTAATTGAAAGTTTGATATTTATTTTCTGTTCAGGCGTTACCATTTGCAGATGCTCTGAAGCTTCTGTCTTACTTGAAGGATTGGGCTTCTAATCCTGATAAGGTTATTCTATTCGCACTTTGGAATATACAGAATTTTTGGCATTTGTAGTGTTACAATTGAATATACTGCCTTTTGTTATGTAAATTAAGTTATGGCCTGTCATATTTCTTTCCATTCTTAATTTTTTACCCCTGCATTCCATCCCACTCTTAGTTTGATCATTGACATGCTTGTGAATTTGGTTTGGGTACTGTATACAATTTTTCTATTGAAAAAAAAATGAAAAAACTGAAAATTTCTTGCTTACTGTGTCACATGGAAGTCAGATGATTTTTAATTTGGAAGGCCAAACTTTGTGGTAACTATTTTGGAAGTTTCCATTGGCAGCTTTCTGTCTCTGCTTTAGGTTTATGACCTATCTTCAAATTCCTTGCAAATTTCATTTTTATGGGTTTAATTATCTTGGTAAAATATAATTTGTAATACTGTTATAATTTATATGCAGGTTGAGCTTGTTTGCAGGGTTGCTACGGTGCTATTGCAAATACATCATAATCAGTTAATTACTACCCCAGCAGCCAGACCTGTGTTGACTGCTCTGAAAGACTTCCTATATGCAAGAGTCAAGGTAACAATGTGTTTTTCTTTTCTTATTTCTGTTTAGAATACGTTTGTGTAGGTGACTGGAAATACTGTAATATGTTAGCTGAGTATTCCAAAATCTGAACTTCTCCTGATTAAATTTGTTTCTCACTATTGCTCCCTTAATTGCACTATATTCTGAATTCTGGACGAAATATCTTTTTGTAGGATATGACAATGAAAACTGGTATTCAAAAAAAATAAAAAATAAAAAATAAATAAAAATAAAAAATGAAGATGATATGTTGCTTATCCAAGTGTGCTTGCATGTTTGCAAAAAATTATATATTGTTGATGTGGGTACAGTGGTTACATCTATCGATTCTTTTGTAATAATTAATATATATTTTTTTTTTTTTTACAAATAGGATAATTCCTTGTAATTTTGTCGTTGATTGAATGTTATTCCTTGTTACAAAGAATTTTGCTGCATGAAATTTTGTTGTGATGCCTGAGGAAATCACCTATTATTGTAATATCCATGATTGTGTTAAATTTGCTGTATCAATGGGTTTTTAATCAATTTGCTGAAATGATGGTGGCCCTTTAACGACACATCTTTTATCTTTTATTCAAGATTTCAATTAGTCAGGTTGTTTCATGATAAATAATACATATGAAAAATTTGAAGATCACTCAATGACTAAAGCGGCTGTGATCTTGTGTCAGGAACGGAAAGATACTATTGGTTTTAATCTTGCTGCAATGGATCATCTCAAGGTGGGTGGTTGATTTTATGGATAATTTTAGGAATTCTGATAAAAATAAGCCTGAGGTTTAAATTTTTATTTGTGATTTCAGCAATTGATGGCTTTGAGGTCAGACGCACTCTTCCAAGATGCAAAGGTGAAGTTACAAGAAATCCGATCATATCAATCAAAACGTTTAGAAGCAAGGGCAGACACAAAAGCCGAAAAACGAAAAAAGAAAAAACAGAAAAAGTCAAGTGAAATACATGCTTGGACATGATGCTGAGAAGTAAAATTTCGAAGGAATAGAATACTTACTGCTGCACAAGTTGAACATACATGATAAACTGCATTGGTTGGCTCAAGAAAAAGGGAGTCGGAAGAGCATGTCTAATTTATGGCAATTGATTATTTTCTTGTAGCTCAAAGCATGTAGAATGAGGGCTTTGCCTTTCTAAAGTTTTGTTTGTTGTAACATATGTCAATGATTTATAAGGTTGGTGAATTTGAGTTTTTCGGGAGTAGTTAGCAAAAGTGAAATAGACAAAAAGTGCACATCGGGTTGAGTCGGGTCTTCACAGTGATCGTGTTGGTATTGGGTTGTTTAGGTGCAAATCCAATTCTGTTGGGTGAGTAGAAAGTCCAAACAGCCCGACCCAACTCGTGGCTGTTATTTATTATTATTATTATTTTTTTTTTGAGTAAGTTAGGTTCATAATCTTCTCTCACAACCATTATGCGTAGCGTGTCATTAGTCAGTTTGTAAAATAAGTTTTGTTTGCTTGTATGAGTCTTATTATCTATTTACGAACTAACCAATGATGAGTTGTTATATTAGGGTTGTGATAAAAGATTGTGGATCCAGTATTTCTGTACTTTTTTTGAAAATTTTATAACGCAACTAAGAATTAGAATTAGGGATGGCAATCAAGGGTTTATAATGCAACTAAGTAGGGATGGCAATCAAGGGGGGTAGGGGTGGGGATCATCATCCCATCACCAAAAGAAAATTTGATCCCCATCCTCGAATTGGCCAAAACTGGGATGGGGAGCGATCCCCGAACGGGCAGGGAACCGTTCCCTGAATATTAAAAATAAAAAAATTATTTTCTTTTTATTTTAATATTTTATCATGATAAATTTGAAAGTGTATCTTATTGACTTATTCAATAATAAGCACCAATAATATTTTTATTAAATTATTCAACTTTAAATTACTAAAAATATAATATTAGAATGATAAATCTATAATCATAATTGAATAATTTCTATTAACATAATGTTAGAATAAAAAAATGTTATTGTATTGAAACTCTTAATTTTTTTTTTTTTTACCTTAAATTGTTATGTGGTAATAGAAATTGTTATATATTTTTAAGACAAAATTAAAATAATTTTTTTGATACTTAATTATTTTCATTCCCATCCTTGCCCCGACCCGTCTCCAAAACTTTGGTAGGGACTCGTGGGTACCTGTACACACAGGGAAACTTGCCATCCCTAATTAGAACTAACCCCCTCTCACCCTCAACGTCTAAACTCCAATTTTTCTTTTAACAATTGTCATTGATTCAGTTAATCAAAACTTTGAGGTTAAAACTTTAAACTATACTATACCTTTTGCCATCTCACTACCCCTCTTATGTTCGTCTTTTATCTTTGATGTAATATCTCACTAGGCAAGTATTCATTGAGTATCATATAGAAAGAATCTAGATAATTGCTAGCTTAAAAAAGAGTGTTTATCTATAATTTTTATCTTTAATCCAGTTATAACATACTATTATACAATGATTATTTCTCACATATATAAATCCACATTAATTCCTTCATTGAGACAGTGTGAGTAATCATCTTGCCAGCTTGACGTCTCCCAACCACTATAATCTAATACCTGCAAAATAAAGAAAGCAACGGGGTGAGTTATAAATGCTCAGTAAGTAAACCAAATCTAACTATGCTCTAACTCCAGTGTCCCTGTTTTCGCTGTACTGCTTCTAAATTTCTGCTTGCTTTCTTTCTTTATTCCCAGGCGTACTACTTAGCAGCCTTATATTTTTCTCAAATCTTTCTAAATCCTTCTAGTGATGTGCTATTATTTATCATTTTATTTCTCTTCTCTACTAGATTATAACTTTCTGTTTCTTTCTCTACTCAACAAATCGTTAAGTTTCCTTGCTATTTGTCATGTTTCTAATTTCTGTTCTTTTCTAGCATGAATCTAATTTCTGTTATTTTCTTGTATATCTTTAATTTCTTTTCTATTCTCGTAGGCTTCTATTTTTTTCTTCTTCTCTATTCTCACGAGCTTCTATTTTCTTTTTTTAGCTATTCTCATGGGCTTCTATTTTCTTTTCTTCTTTATTCTCACGGGCTTCTATTTTCTTTTCTTGATTAGTCAGACATGCAATAATAAAATAAACTCTTTAATCCATGCATAAATGCATAAGATGCAATGCACATAAAATGTCTAATGCATATGCAAATGATCATGTTTGTATTCTTTTTAAAAATTCTTTTCTAATTCTTTTTGAAAATTCTTTTCTAATTCTTTCTGAAATTCTTTTCATTTTTTCTCTGAAATTCTTTCTGTTTTCTATTTCTTATTCTATTTTTCTTTCTTTTTGTTTTCTGTTTCTTATTCTATTTTTCTTTCTTTCTTTCTGTTTTCTGTTTCTTATTCTATTTTTCTTTTTTTCTAAAACTCATTCTGTTTTCTGTTTCTTATTCTATTTTTCTTTCTTTTTGAAACTCTTTCTGTTTTCTGTTTTGGTTTGCCGATCGGACTACGCTGAGACATGGATTTGGAACATTGGCCGTGTAAGCATATTCTGAAATTCTTTCTGGGTATAGTCCTCATCCACATGCACTTCTAGTGGACTGTACAATTATGTTTTCTATTCTGAGGCTGCTCATTGATGGCGGCGTGCATGTGGGAAACTTTTGCATCTCTGTTGCCACTAGCTAACATAGCAAATGCTCACAGGTTCCCCATCGCAACAGCCCTCTGAAAACATGCTCTGTAAATCTGCAAAATAACTAGCTAGACATTTTCCAATAATTTTAAAATTTCTGAAATATATGCCATGCTATGTCATGCATTTATATGCTGTGTATGCATGATCCCAAAATACGTGTCTGACTCTGGCATGTATTCTATTAATTCTAAGGCTTTTATTTCTATACTTTTCTGGAAAGCCCAAAGTTCTATTCTAGTAACACGCTTAACTTAAACATTTTCTATTTCATTCTTTATTTCTGAATTCTATGCATCGTGTGTACGTACGCGATTCTATAATTTCTACATAATTCTGTAATTCTTCAATTCTATCATGCTATGTAAAATGTACACGTACACAATTACATTATCTCTCACAAATTCTACTCTCTAATATTTTCTAATGTAACAAACATGTCTTGTACAAATTTCTAAATACAAATCTTAATGCCATAAATTTTCATTCTCTTAACATGACCATCAACATTGTTATACATGCCGTTCTTTCTTCTTTTCTTTTGGCTACATTCTAAACATTAATCTATATTGCCATATCAACCATTGTAAATTCAATCTAACATATGGCACAACATATATACTTTGGCTAAATTCTAACTTCTTTTTAACATTCTTAACTGAACTCTTGGCCAATACAACATAGTCTCAAGATCTTCTAGCACAATTCCATAGCTTGTAATATATAATAAGGCATGAAAACTGTACTCATACCAATCAATTTCTAAAATGGTCATGTATTTAATACATAAACTAAACTTCTATTTCTTTGATGTTTCTTTGTTATTTATACTTGTGAAAGCTTTTCTATTCTTTATACAATAAAATCACTTATTACATATTGTTTATAGCTAATCTCAAAACAAGAAACAACAATATACTCATTTGGCCAAGCCATTCTTTGAATGATCTTTCTAATTTCAAGCATACAAGCTTGACAATTTATTGTGGCATATTGTAATATTATAATATAATCACCCATCTTATTCTATCATCAATACTACACTATTGCAACAATTTAATATGCAATTCTGGCCATCACTTTTCTAAAGTCATAAGTTTCAAAACTCATAATTCAATGACTAAATACAATATGCCATTCAAACTAATGCTAAAAGTTCAAGCAGCTTGAACTATGCACTAAAAGCCATTCATTTCATTGAACTAACATGACCAAGTGATATTCTAAATTTTGCCATAACAAAATGCACTCTTGAATACTAAAACTTACACTTGGTTAAGCCTAACATAACCTTTCAACTCCAATTCTTTCATTTCTCAAACAATTTCTTCAATAAGAGTTAACAAACTCATGCATGCATTTTTCTTTGAATTTTCATCAAACAATTCACATGCACATGCAAATACTTGGTTGGCCACACTTCCACATCTCTCCAAATCCACCAAAATTGGAGCAAAAACTCACCAAACTTAACTTCAAATTTGGCCGGATTCAACACTTCCAAATTCCAACATCAACTCGTCAAAATTTCATCCAAAGTTCAACCAAAACATCACATCTACATAACTACTCATCTTGGCTAAAATTCTACACATTATTCTCCATCAAACAAACATCTAAACAGCCAATACTTCTTATCATACATCATACACAAACACCCAAGAATCAACTTACACATATACTACTCAAATTAAAGCTTAGATTGGGTTTACTTACCTTTTTCTTGCAAGAATCCTTTTCTTTGCTTCCTTTGCTCACTTTATCCATTAATTCATGCTTAGAAAGCCACAAAATGAACATATATTCACTTAGGCATGAATTCTCATGTAATTCTCTTGGAAGACTTTGAAGAAATTGAGGAGAAATGGGGGAAGAAGGTGGCGTGCTCAAGGGATGAGAATGGCTAGGGTTTTGTCAATTGAAGCCTTATATATATATACACGTGTATTTTCCATAATCTTTCTACCACTCTATTCTCATGGCTAGCACACTTAATACATTCTATTTATCATACTCACTTTTCACTTGAGCACGTGATTCTATGTGAAATGACTATTTTGCCCCTATTGAAACTTTTATGGAATTCCTCCATAAATCTAGTTAAATATATTCACTATGACTATAAAATAATCCCTATCATATTTCTGAATGTGGGTATTACATTTGACTCCACTTGCAAAGTCAACTCATCTAATAGTTCAAAACACTCAAATCAATCAGTAAAAAATGTTGGATTTTTATATACTTTACTATTCAAATTGTTGTGCTTTTAAAATGTTATCTATTGTTGATACAAAATTATGCACCAACCAGCGAGATCCGATCGACCTTGTCAGGATCGGAACTGATGTGTGCGTGATTACAAGTAATCGGCAATGAGTGAATGATAATGCCAGAAAGTAAATGACAAAGAGAAATTTTAAAGTAGTTCAGCGAAGTTAAACTGCCTACGTCCACTGTGTTTTTTGTATATGTTGTGAGAGTTTACCATG